TCTGTGATTCTGTGAGCAACTCAATCTGCCTGCCTGCTCTTCCTGATTTTGGGTAGAAGTTGCTCTTTTTTAATAAAAAATCAATATGTATATACATGGTGTGTTTTGTGAGTTTGCTTGCTAGCAAATTTTATGGGTTTGCTTGCAAACAAATTTTATGTGACAGGCTCAGGTAGCCAATCTCACAGATCTCTGAATGAATCTGTGATTCTGTGAGCAACTCAATCTGCCTGCCTGCTTTGTCTGATTTTTTGTAAAAGTTGCTCTTTTTTTATTAAAAAATCAATATTTATATAAATATTTATAATATTTACATATAAGCCATGTCCAGCCAGTCACATGACCAACAAGCCACATCCACAAATTAGGCCACGCCCACAGAACTGGTGTAAGGCATCCAGAAAGTATCCATGATATCAATCACTCCAAAACATTTCTCTCCAATTGATTTATTTAGAAACAGATCTGGCATGTCAAAGGCAATTTCCCAAGTGAAATTATTTTTGTGCGTTACACAGAATCCACCTTCTCTCCTCCCTTCTCTCCTCCCACTTCTATACTTCATAAATCACGAGAACCAATTAACTGCCACTGGAATTTCTTAATACAACATACAGAATAACCTTGAACTTTCAACTCCTCCAACTCTCTTAAAAAATGTGGCAGCTGAATTTTAAAGCTGACAACCAGTTGTTAAGAAATTTGAATCCCACTCCTGCCTCTGTGTGTGTGTGTGTGTGTGTGTGTGTGTGTGTTTGTGTGTGTGAAAGAGAGTGGTCCCCGGGATTTAAAATTATGAGTTTGGTGGTCCCTGAGGTCCAAAAAGTTGGCAACCCCTGCTATAAAGGAAGTAGTCCTTAAAGGAAGTGAGTCCTTAAAGATGCCAACCATGGGTTCAACAAGGTAGTTGTTCTCTCATCTCTCGGATTTCTAAACCTGCCAGAGATTGCTGTCACTTCACAAGCATGTTGCATAAAGTCCCAGTTACCATATATCAGAAGAAAATCACATGATTTTATTTCTGTTCTGTTTTGTTCCAGGAGCTTAGTAGCTTAGTAGGAAAGGGCTACATAAACAATGGACCCTTATTCCTAAATACAGGTCACCATCGAAACTTCTGGGAAACTTCTGGGAAGGATATGAATCATATCCTCTTCTTGTCTGAAGAGGAATTACAAAGAGCTGCAATTGTTGGCTCTTCTTCTAGTGAATGTCTTCAGTTCGTCATTTGCTTCCCAGAAGTTTCAATGGTGGCCTGTATTTGGGAATAAGGGTCCATTGTTTATGTAGTCCTTTCCTACTAAGCTCCTGGAACAAAACAGAACAGAAATAAAATCATGTGATTTTCTTCTGCTATATGGTAACTGGGACTTTCTGCAACATGCTAGCACATTATTGTACTTTGCCTCCAGGCATCAGTTCTGATTTACCAACCTTATAATAATATATAACGTTTCAGTCACTTAGGAAAAATGGCTACTAATCGCCTGGGGCTACAGGAAAGTAGGAACTTCTTTCTTAAAATTCAGATGTGAAAACAATTCTAATATGAACTTTTAATATGTCCCATACTGAACAGAAACAAAACTTCGTTATTAATTTACACATAATTTACATCAGTTATGCATTGCTTCTGTGTGAATATTCTGTTTGTATTTTTAAAAATAAAAACATAATGTAAATATGGCATGATAAAAACCCATCTGCAATCATCTTTCTTTTTATTACATGAAATTACATGGAACTTTAAGAGTACTTTTCTCCATAAAATGCAAAATATAGCAGATGTCAATGTCAAAGCAAATGTACTGAATATTTCTTTTATAAAATACTGCTGTACATTGAACTGACTTTACTCCTGGGCATTAAACAATGAGAAAAACCGTTGCTATATTATCTGTCAGGATTTTGTAAAGGTTTTCCAAACACTGTTTATGCCTTTCTCATTGTATTATTAAACTAGTGGCCTGAATTCTCTACTATCTTGAATAGAGAAATATTTTCAGGCAGTTTTATAGCATCAGCTTTTTTTTTTTTTTTGGTAGGAAATGTTAACAGCTTTTCTACTGACAAACACAGAAGATAAATAGGAATAATTTTGTGAAATAATGATCATACAGAATCCCATAGCATTATTTATTTATTAAATGCATATGCTGCCCATCTCACTGATAAGGCAACCTTGGGCAGCTTACAACTGATAAAAAGATAAATATAAAACCAATTCAAAAGAATTATATCTTGAAGATATCTAGTAGCAATTGCCTTTTTCTTAGTTGAGCACCAGGGGGAAGTATGATAAATTACTTATTTCTTTGTTTTAATTATATATTGCTTAAACCAATACAGTACCACAGTGGTTAATAGTAACAAGTTGATACCATGATTGCTAAGAAGCTTTGCTAAATTGGGCTGTCAAATTAAAAATGATACCATTTTAGACTTTTAGACTAAATGATTATTAGTAACTCTTAAAATGAGGACTCAGATTGTTAGGGAAATATGCTGACTGAAACTGCTTAGATAGGGTTGTAAAGCACTATAAAGTGGTTTCAGTCTTAAGTACTATTGCTATCTACAATAGTTTGAAATAACATTATTGAAAAAAGTCAATTCCTTGAAAGCATTTGATACTCTAGAATCAAAGAAAAATTTAAAGTGGTTTTTTTTTTTGGGGGGGGGGGATGAATGTGGATTTGTTTCATATCCTTTGATAATAATCCTTTGAACCAACATTTATAAATCTCTTAACAGAATGAGGGGAAAAATTGAGACTGGGCTGAGAAAAGTAAAATATTTCTAGGTGAAAGGGTCTTTTTTCTGAAAAATATATATATACATTTCTGCTACCTCTGTTTACTTCTGGAGTTGGTTTCTTTTAGCCACTTGAAGCTAGTGAGTAGATATGAAGAGTTCTAATGAAAGAAGCAGTAGATGATACATACCTGAAACTTGTCTGCATTTTTACTACAGCAGTAGTGCCCAGCCTTTGTGGCTTGGTGGCCTAGTGGGGGTGGGGGTGGGGACTGGGCCGCATGAATGACAAGCTGGCATGCATGTGAATATGATCAGTTCAACTTTTATAACTAGTGGGCTGGCATGCATGCACATGTGCACCTAGCTTGACTTGTACAAGTTGAGCTGCACAATTGTGTGCATGTGCATTGGCCCACCGTTTATGCAGGTCAAGCTGCACCATGCGTGTGTGCCAGGCCACCACTTGTACAGCCTAGTTGCGAATAGGCCACAGCCTGGCAATGGGCTATATCCTGGTAGTTGGGGACCCTGTATTACAGCAGGAAAAGAAACAGAAGAAACCATAGTTTAGAAAAACCCTAGAAAAATAAACTTGTTAGACATGCCCAGACAACAAGCCTAATTAAATTCCCAAGAAATATTCGAAAATATTGTTGTGGTAAAAAAAAACACCAGGGCTTAAAAATTAAAAAAAAATAAATAAACTTTAATTCCCATATGATCTCTTTCTTTGCAGGGTTGAGGGCCAACACCACACAATAGTTCTGCATTTGCATTTTAATGTACAATTATCTTTGAAGATTCTATATATTTTAGGTCAGAATAGCATCTATCTGATGTTCATAAATATGCTCATTACATGGCCCTAAGTTTGTAGTTATTTTTTTTGGTCTGTTTGGTGTTTATGTAAATAAGTAATAATGAATGAAGAAATATACATTAGTTTATTTTAATAGCAAAATGTAATGTTTATATAGAGAAACTGGTAGATAATCAGACAAATTATACAGCAAAATAAAATTTCCAAACTTATTCAACTCTAAAGATTTTTTTGTTATTTTTATCAACATTCCCATAGCTTCTTGGAAATTCCTGTGACATTCCATATAAAGAAGATCTCCTTCTCATTCATTTCCATTTTGCATTTTCCATACTTTTAATGAAAAATAAAGCTGGTATATTTAATGGAAAAATATAAGCATACAGACTTGCTGTCTTAGCTAATGCTAATACTGCATTTCTGTTTATATTAAAAGAAAACTTTGTTTGTTAATGGTCTTTGGATAATTTCTGCAATGACACTGCTAACCTATAAGATACTTCTTGTCCGTATTATGTGAATATGATTTGACTTCCTTCATGGAGGAAAGGGAAATAGCTTAGGTGCATTTTCAGGGGATATATACACAATAAAAAGTGAAGTTATAGCAAGCTCTATCTGAAGCTAGTTGTGGATTGCTGTATAATTTCTAAAATGTAAATTTTAGTTTTACTTTGGTTCAATCCCTTGTGGATGTATTAATTGGTTTCTCAGGAACAGGAAGCAATTAAGGTTTTTGAAGCTGAGATATTTTTATGTTTATTTCAATAGTGCTGCAGGCACTATTTTGCCTTTTTTATTTTTAGGTAATCTTTCAGCACCTTCATTATAACAAAGAATTAACTTTGATCTTTATCTTTGGGCATACTTTCTGTGTATGTGTTCATGTATGTATGTGCATGTATATCAGTTAATTTGACTGTAACATTGGATTGTATCCAGAGAGAAGGACTAGGGGTGACATGATAGCAGTTTTCCAATATTTGAGAGGCTGTCACAGAGAGAATCAATCTGAAGGCAGGACAAGAAGTAACAAATAGAAGCTTATCAATGAGAAATTCAACCTAGAACTAAGGAGAAATTTCCTGACAGTGATACGAATTAACCAGTGGAATGACTTGCCTCCAGTAGTTGTGGATGCTCCATCACTGGAGGTTTTTAAGAAGAGATTGGATAGCCATTTGTCCAGAATAATTCCCACAACTTTAGCTATGCTGATTGAAATTGAAGACTGGACTATTAGGATTGTTAAGAGATAAGGTATGTTCATTTGCTGGTGAGCACATTTAGAATTATGTTACTTGCTAAATTAATGTGTTGTGTGGGTTTTTCAAATGAACTGGCAATTTAGGCTACAATTTAAATCTACAAAAGGAATAATAGCAATAGCACTTAGACTTATGTACCAATTCTAGTGCTTTACAGTCCTCCCTAGGTGGTTTACAAAATCAGCATATTGCTTCCAATAATCTGGGTTCTCATTTTATTGATCACAGAAGGATGGAAGGCTGAGTCAACTTTGAGCGAATCAAACTGTTGGTCGTCATCAAAATTAGCTTCCAATACTGTATTCTAACCACTGAGCCACCACAGCACTAATCAAACTCTTTCCTATGGACTTGCCCCCAGAAGTCGTGAGTGCTCTAATACTGGATGTTTTTAAGAAGAGATTGGACAACCATTTGTCTGAAATGGTATAAGATCTCCTGCTTGAGCAGATGGTTGGACTAGAAGACCCCCAAAGTCCCTTCCAACTCTGTTCTTCTGTATTCTGTATCCTTCTGCCAGAAGATTGAATAATACTGTTGAAATAGAAGTGCATTCACATCTAAAAGATTATGAAAATATAATCCATCTTGTTAATCATTGTATAAGTCTTCCTGTCCCCCTTCATTTCTACACACAGGAAAGCCCAAAGCAAAGATTCTACATAAAAGACATGAAAAGCCTATTTTGGCAGGGGTTACATGAAAATGGACTCTTCTGTCTGAAAAATGGTAGTGAGTTTATCATAATTTTGTTTGTGAATTTTGGGGCTTCATCTAATTGAAAGTTATGGTTACGTGTTATATAAATATATGATTGTTTCTTGTTCTGAAGACATGTTCATCCATTCTTATGTAACCACAGCAAATGAATTAGTATAATTTCTAAAATACTAATTGATGTGATTATTTACTGTGGAATGTTGAGTGAGTTTTGAAATATACAGAGATAATGAGAGACTTTGAATGAGTGTTGGCCTATTTTTGGTAGCATCAAAAGTATTTGTGAAGGATACAAATGGAGGAAAAGATAAAAAGTAAAAAAAAAACTAAAGTAAAAGTAAAATGATATAATAAAAATTAAAATTAAGATTAAAATTAAGTTTAAAAAACAAAACAATCCTATTACATAACAGATTAAGCCCTCAATGAAATGAATTCAAATTGGACATAAGGAAAATTGGAAGAATGTGAAATCTATTTGGAAGAGAGTGAAAAGGATAGTAGTGTACTATTAGTGAGAAGTTTTAAAAATATCACTTATAGGATGTATGCTCTTCCTCAGGTCTTCAGATGGAATATGATCAGGCAACATAAACTTTGAAGCAGAGGATAAATGACACAGGATCAGGCAGATCTAGGGAAAAATCCCATCCTTTTTGTTATCAACAAATACAAATAGGCCATCAACAGGCATATGAACAACATCTACATACGATCAAAAGGGACAATCAGAAGGCCAAAACACTTCCTCATCTGTAATGATCATCTTTATGAGTAGAGTTTAACACCAAGATTAACATTAGACTAACAATCAAAAAGCAAACAGCTCAATCAAGGAACCACCAAGACCACTCCCATCACAAGTATATAAAATAAGAGCAATCCCCACCCTAGTTACCTAGTTTGATAATGAAATGTCTGCAATAAAACGATGAAGCTCAGAGACCACCAAGGACCTTGCACTAATACTTAGAGACATCATTACTCTGGCTCACTTTCATATGCAGTTAGAACAGCTAGCCATAGGAAAAACTTTTTTCTTTGTCCACTCTCATTCTTGAAACTTGCCCCTGAAGTTTTGGATGATAAATGTAAAAAGTAGAATTAGCTCTGCCCGATTGACTCTTGAAACTGGCAAATATTGGAATATGTACTATACTTCACTGTTGCTCCTTTTATAGAGATATTCAAGCTAGATTTATGTTTTTTATGGTCAGCAGATATTCTAGATAGATTTGGCTTATGTCCAGAGGCTACTGACAGATGCACTGCCATTTATTACAGCTAGGTTTTGCACTGCAGCATGTAAAATTCACTGGATTTTGACAGCTCAAGCTCCTGTTATCTAGGTACATTCTATACAATTTTAAGTAGTCCAGTATTTTATGTCATCTCATGTTTTATGTTATTATTATAGATACAACCTAAACATAGTTTACCTTTGTTTTTCTTTACTTATGAGGTATATAGTACACTCTATTTATGCATTTCAGCTTAGATAATGAATTTATATTTAATAGTTTTTTAAAAAAAGTAAACTCGTAATAAGTGATTATGGACTCCTTATGGAACTATTTCTTATCCTGGTCTCAGAGAGCAGTAAAGATTGTCTGGAATGATGAAGTTAAAAAAAAGCTATGAATGAGAAAAAAAAAGAGAATGATTTTAGAAGAAACAAAAATGCAAAGAAGATGTTATATAATGGATATACCAAGAAAGAAATAGTCAAAAGCATTCAAAGACAGCAGGGAGCAAGTATTATTAAAAGAGGCAGAGAAAGTGCAGAATGATTTGGATGAACAAAATAAGGCGCTTCCAGCACAAGGAACAGGATTTAATAATAAAAATGATGACATGAACTCCGATAAAACATAAATGAGATAATGCTAGAATCAGTATTTTAGAAATAGGTATGGAAATTTCCATTATATGCTGAAGAATGGAATTGAAATGAGTGATAGAAATTGTAGTGTCTAAGAAAAAAATGAAACAAAGGTGATAGACATGACAGTGTTGAAAAATGGTAATGGTAATTGTTATAGTAATGGCAATAGCAGATGTGATGGTGTGAATTTGGATATATTGAACTATGCATGTAGTTTGTTTATGGAGAAGCTGCACAACTTGTTTAACATATGAATTGCCTCTGCCTGACAACTGGAAGAATTTATTTATCATTCTCCTGAAAAGGGGAAAAGGAGCAAGAGTGAGTGGTTGAACTAGAGAGAGCTGTTCTTTTTCTAAATTTGTTTGGGAGGTATAGAGAAGTCTATGCAGTTTTCTTGCCAACATTTTCAAAAGTGGTTTGCCATGACCTTCTTTTTCAGGGCTGAGCAGGAGTGACTCACTCAAAATCACTTCCATGTCTATGGTGGGCCTGGAATTCACGATCTTTCAGTTTCTAGATTGGTGCCATAACCACTATGCCAAATAGTTATGAACAATTCCATAATTATGGTGTTGAGAGTTTGTTGTTGCATAGATGAATAATATATAATGGAGAAAAAGATGTGAAAATAACTAATATGCTTAGTTATTGATTCAATGTTGAGAAGTAAGACAAAGCCTTGTAGTGTCTCCTTCTCTTACTGTTTAGATAAATGTAAAAAAAATGTTTATGGTGAAGTAACAGGTGGGATAGTAGAGATGTGACTATACACCATGCGCACAATTATTAGGCAAGTGAATATTTTGACCATATCATCATTTTTATGCATATTTTCCACCTCCAACCTCTATACACTTGAATGCTTAGATGGCTTAAGCATATCAGGTGAGGTGTATTTATACAATGAGGGAGGATGTAGCCTAAGGAGATCAACACCCTATATCAAGGTGTGCATAATTACTAGGCAGCTTCTTTTCCTCAGGCAAATACAATGGAATGAACAATTGCAAGTTATACATAAAAAATTAATAGATTGTGTATGCACTAGAATGTTTATTAAAATGAGATGAAAAGATTTTTAGTTGTACAAATGATGATAGAGGAATACATGGCAAAATAAACAGCTTAAATGGCTATGCATAAGAGCCAGTTTTGTCCTTTTATGTGACAATGACAGCTTAAGTGACTAAAATTGTGAAGATCTGCGGTATGTATGTTTGTGTATAGGTGTGTATAGGTGAAGGAGTGAGGATATCAGTGTCTTGATCTGGGAGGAGGAACTATCGTTGGTTATATCATGGGAGAAAGGGCAACCTGAAAAACTGAGGCTGATGGGTAGGCAGATATGATGGGAATGTGGGGATAGAGCAGGTTATCAGCTTCTTAGCAGCCCCAGACTGTAAACCTGTCCTCATTCATCTTGTTATTATGGTTGAGATGCCAACCTGGTATATATATTTGAGACCTGGTTAGGTAAGGAGTATCTTCTGAAAAATGTGCCCACCCTGATTTTGTGTTTGGCATCATCCAACAGCTTTCAGCAAGTTACCCATGATTGCTATTAGCAACTCATGCTGGACTTTCAGAACTCTGCTCCACAGATGACTTTATGTGAGACTCTAGTATAATTGGGCTTTAGAGAACAATTGGGATTACTGTTGCACTGCTTTTCCAGCTGCATAGCGTCATTCCTGCCTGACTTGTTATATTCCATTCCCAGACCGACTATAGAGACTAATAACTTTAGGGAGTTTAATTTTATACATGGTGTTGTGAGCTGTGCATGTTTCTTTAAATATATGTTAATATTGTTAAAATAGGATACTATATTTGTATACATGGATTTGTTACAGGCTAAGTATTTTTCAAGGATGTGTTGTGTTATTTCTTCTATCTTTTCAATTTTTCATTGTTATACAGGTGAAACTCAAAAAATTAGAATATCATGCAAAAGTTCATTTATTTCAGTAATGCAACTTAAAAGGTGAACCTAATATATCAGATAGACTCATTACATGCAAAGCAAGATAGTTCAAGCTGTGATGTGTCATAATTGAGATGATTATGGCTTACAGCTCATGAAAACCCCAAATCCACAATCTCAGAAAATTAGAATATTGTGAAAAGGTTCAATATTCTAGGCTCAAAGTGTCCCACGCTAATCAGCTAATTAAGCCATAACACCTGCAAAGGGTTCCTGAGCCTTTAAATGGTCTCTCAGTCTGGTTCAGTAGGAATCACAATCATGGGAAAGACTGCTGACCTGACAGTTGTGCAGAAAACCATCACTGACACCCTCCATAAGGAGGGAAAGCCTCAAAAGGTAATTGCAAAAGAAGTTGAATGTGCCCAAAGTGCTGTATCAAAGCACATTAATAGAAAGTTATGTGGAAGGGAAAAGTGTGGAAGAAAAAGGTGCACAAGCAGTAGGGATGGCCGCAGCCTGGAGAGGATTGTCAGGAAAAGGTCATTCAAAAGTGTTGGGGACTTTTACAAGGAGTGGACTGAGGCTGGAGTCAGTGCATCAAGAGCCACCACACACAGACGGATCCTGGACATGGGCTTCAAATGTTGTATTCCTCTTGACAAGTCACTCCTGAACAACAAACAACATCAGAAGCATCTTACCTGGCCTAAAGAAGAAAAAAAAGGTCTGTTGCTCAGTGGTCCAAAGTCCTCTTTTCTGATGAGAACAACTTTTGCATCTCATTTGGAAACCAAGGACCCAGAGTCTGGAGGAAGAATGGAGAGGCACACACTGCAAGATGTTTGAAGTCCAGTGTGAAGTTTCCGCAGTCTGTGTTGATTTGAGGAGCCATGTCATCTGCTGGTGTTGGTCCACTGTGCTTCATTAAGTCCAGGGTCAACGCAGCTGTCTACCAGGAGATTTTGAACAGGAACATTTCATGCTTCCTTCCGCAGACGAGCTTTATGGGGATGCTGACTTCATTTGCCAGCAGGATTTGGCACCTGCCCACACTGCCAAACGCACCAAACCTTGGTTCAATGACCATGGGATTACTGTGTTTGATTGGCCAGCAAACTCGCCTGACCTGAACCCCATAGAGAATCTATGGGGCATTGTCAAGAGAAAGATGAGAGACATGAGACCGAACAATGCAGAAGAGTTGAAGGCCGCTGTTGAAGCATCCTGGTCTTCC